ATAACGTGAAGGCAGATAGGCCTATAACATTTAACCCCAGGGGGAGTATGTGTAGGATGTGTTGTAGGCAACACAAAACACTGTTTCGTTATGGGCCCCTGGGGTGGAGCATTTGGAGAGAAGGGTGGGCCAATGCTCCACTCCACAGTTTAGTGGTTTTCTGGGGAGACATAGATCCAGGCCAGGGTTTTTTGGACTGTCTCCAACCCACTGCACAGCTGCAGTTAATGAGCTGTTGCAGTGGGAATAAACTCCTCCCTGCTAGGCAGGTAATGGAGAGGGATTGCTGGCTTCCTCCCAGGAAGCAGGTAAAGGAGAGGGATTGCTGGCTTCCTCCCAGGAAGCAGGTAGGAGAGAGAGGCTGTTCTCTCCAGATAGAGTCAAGGAGACTAGGCACTTGGAGTGCAGAAAGGAAAGCAGTCAGGGCAAGGCTGGCTTGGAGCACTGGGAGTGCAGAAAGGAAGCAGTCAGGGCAAGGCTGGCTTGGAGCACTGGGAGTGCAGAAAGGAAAGCAGTCAGGGCAAGGCTGGCTTGGAGCACTGGGAGTGGAGAAAGGAAAGCAACAGGCTAGCTAGCAGAGTGTTGCTATCTAGTAAGGTTGGTGCCATATGTTTTTGTTAGTTTAACCCTGATAGAGAGGGATATACAAAGTGAGTTAGTGCTCAGACGAGCTAGGTTTTTTGCTTATAGGGTTTTGTTTATAGGGTTTTCTGTTACAGTTATGTTTTTCATTTACTGCTGTATCCTGTGTGGATTTTCAAATAAAGTGCATGGAGTATATGCAATTACAAGGACTGTGCATGTTTTTGCCCTAGAGGACCGTGCTACATGGTGACAAGGATCACAATATATATATACGTCTTTTGTATATATAGTCTTGGGCCAAATGCTTGCGACATTAATATGTCTATATTAATTAAAAGTACTAATACGCAATCTGACTTACGGTTTCTTCAGGTTTATTCTTAGTTACTGATACATAATAAAACAACAAAGTATGTTACAGGATAATAGATGTTCAACAGCAGATGGTAATTGCTGGACTTCTGATGTAACATCCTTACATTGAGAGAGAGAGAGCCAAGAGACCAGAGTGCCCATACTGACGTCAGAGCATAACTCTAGCCATATAAGGACAAAACCCCCAACTTACAATTCCAGAGCTCTCATACAAGAAAACCTTGTGACTTATTGATACCCTCTGTTACTTATGCCAATCCAGACATCCATATATAATCAATAGAAACATAGAATGTGGAACTCCCGAACATGACCAACCGCTACCTCTCAAACTATGGAGCTATTTTTGGGCAGGCGTCTCGTGAGCGGTCAGTCAAAACTTTGACCCGGTGGCGATTTGGCTGTATTCGTAGGATCTGAGCGCTATTTGGACAACTTGGGCGCTCAGATTCAGGCTATCCGTGGATGTATACACTATAGGGGTTCCTCTATGCGAAAAATGTATTTTTGGGTGTTTTCTATAATTTGTCATTTTATGCTTAGTCATGGTGACATGACATTTAGGGGACATTTTGTGGATGTGTTTATGGGAGTGTCATGGGCGTGTGTACTGTGTCCCTGTATTGTATAAAAGCAGGCCATTGAGCCTGGATTAAACAGATCGTTTTACCCCTTCATTAAGTCTAGGCTAATATTTGGGTGATTGGAAGCTATATTGACTACTGTAATCAGTACTGCGCTGGGGACTTGGGAGATTCTTCGCGGATATACTCAACTGGAGTATTGGGATCCGTTACAATCTCAATACTGTCTTTCTGCGTAGTTACTTAAAATTAATCCTGTATTTTGCACAACATGAAATAAACAGTCTCTGGATCATCTCTTGACTGAGAGAAATAGTTGTGCTGTTCAGCAATCTGTAAAACACAAACCTGCCCCTATAAACACTCTGTAGTGCAGTTGATACAAACTGGACTGGTTTATGTGCAGATTTATATACACCAAACTTGTCAATGCCCAAGAGCAAACTCTCTAGTATAGAAAACCTAGTACAAACTTCACATCACTTTTAATACAGGACTTTTTTACAGTCCTCTAAACTATATTTATAAAATATTTGACAAAGATTTGGGCCCAAATCTATCTATCTATCCCTCCATATTGTTGGTGTGTTTGAATTTATACCAGAGCTCTACAGAAATAATACTCACGGTAATGTGTATTTACAATATGTATATACAAATCAGTCTACGTAAATAAGATCCATTTCAAAGAACAGCCTCACGTATGGCCACACCCCCCACCAAGAATATGTCCTTTTGAACTTTGTCCATCTGAACTTTGTCCATTCTCCCCTCATTTTAAATTAAACTGTACAACAAGGGGTAGGAAAAGGAGTGTATCGTGTGTGTATGTGTGTATGTATGTGTATATATATATATATATATATATATATATATATATATATATATATATATATATATATATATATATATATATATATATATATATATATATATATATATATATATACATACATACACACACACACACACACACACACACACACACACACAAAACATTGATGAAGTATACTGTGTGTGTGTATACACACACACACATACATACACACTGAAGACATATACCATGTATGTGTGTGTGTGTATATACAGAGCTAGCCAGAAAATGTATACACACTTTCACAGGTGTAGACCGGTACAGTCAAACAAAATGGCAGAGGAATGGTTGTCATTTATGGAACGTAAAACCATTTTAAAGTGGTATTTCAAATTTCAAGTTCAACGACAATGGAGGTGTGAGTTTGCATCAGAACCTCCAATATGCCTGACAATTTCACAAATTCGAGACAAGCTTGAAACCCATGGTACCGTGTGTAATGTGCACAAAGGAAGATCCGGTAGACCTCGTACAGCAACAAATCCTGCTTCCTCAGCTATGGTGTTGGAACAGTTTATCCACTCCCCACAGAAGTCTACCACACAATGTGCACGTGAGACAAGAATTAGCTGTACAAGCATATTTGTAGAGGTCAAAGGTAACTTGTATTCATCTCTCAATTTATGAATGAATTTAGTTTTTAAATATTTATACAGGTTTTTCTTTTGCTGAAGAGTGTGTGTAGGTGCGTGTCCCCTCCAAATAGGTTATGGTGGGGAAAGACTGTGATTGAAAACCCCTTCCACCTGAAGTTTGTGGATAGCTAATACAATGTTAAACAAGAATCTGCACACCAGTCCAGCCATAAGACTTGCTTTTCCCACAGAAATCACAAACCGGCAGTGATGTTACTACCGCAAAGGATTATGGGTGGGCATATGCAAATTAGTTTAACAAAGAATCACATTTTGCCTCATTCCATTTTAAACATGGATTCCTTTGAGTCTGTTTGCTGTATACAATAGCTTTGAAACACAACTTCGGAAAAGATGCAAAGTCAGTAAACCACTCACAGTGGACTTTGTTAAACTAATTTGCATATGCCCACCCAGAATCCTTTGCGGTAGTAACATCACTGCATATTTGTGATTTCTGTGGGAAAAGCAAGTCTTGACTGGTGTGCAGATTTTTGTTTAACATTGTATTGACACACTCTATATATATATGAGTCAGTACAATGTTAAAGGAACACTATAGGGTCAGGAATTTAAAACTCACCTTATTTCCAGCGCCGTGCTGGTCTTTTTCTCTGAAAAGGCAGTGTTTGCATTAATATGCCTGCATATAATGATTATACTTGCCAGAACAACAATGGCGAGTATAATCATTATATGTAGGCATATTAATGATATTCAGAGGTGCAAAGAATCAATATAAATATATATATATATATATATATATATATATACGCACAAAACATTGATGAAGTATACCATAATCCTGTCCTACACAAGGTGGGCTTTAACTACAGTATGATGAAGCAAGTCCTAATGTTTAGGGATTAGCAGGGTTAAAGGGACCCTATAGTCACCAGGACAACTACAGCTTAAAGGACTACTATAGTGCCAGGAAAACAATCTTGTTTTTCTGGAACTATAGGGTCATTAGGTTCCCCCCACCCGCTGGGCTGAAGGGGTTAAAACCCCTTCAGCCACTTACCTTTCTCCAATGCAGGGCTCCCTCGGTGCTGGGGAACTCTCCTCCCTCTGCTGATGTCAGCTTTGAATGCGCATTCAAACTGCCCATAGGCAAGCAGAAGCGCCTCTAGCGGCTGTCAGTAAGACAGCCACTAGAGGCTGGATTAACCCTCAGTGAGACATAGCAGTTCTTTAAAACTAGAGGGACCTGGCACCCAGACCACTTCATTGAGCTGAAGTGGTCTGGGTGCCTATAGTGGTCCTTTAATGTAGTTGTTCTGGTGAGTATAATCATTCCCTGCAGGCATTTTAATGTGAACACTGCATTTTAAACACTTTTCAGAGAAAAGGCAGTGTTTACATTCCCCCCAGGGACACCTCCAAGTGACTACTCCTCAGATGGCTACTGGAGGTGCTTCCTGGGGCAGTGCTGCACAGTAGACAGCATTGCCGTTCATGGAGACGCTGAATTTTCCTCATAGAGATGCATTGATTCAATGCATCTCTATGAGGAGGTGCTGATTGGCTAAAAATGCATTTGGCCCCATCTCTTTGCCGATTTCAGCCAATCCAATGCTTTCCATATGGCTAAAACTCGGCAATTCTGATGTCACCAAGGAGGCAGATTGGGGACAGGGCCAGCATCGGCAGACCTGCGCGGTGCTGGAAATAAGGTGAGTTTTCACCTTTTCTAAGGTGGATTAAACACTATACATTTGTGTTCCTGACCCAATAGTGTTCCTTTAAATCCACCCTTTTGCAGCTAGGGCCTTATTTAGTGGCCTCAGGCTGAATTTCTATCATCAAAAATGTGAAAATAAAGTGTCCCCCACCCTTCCATTTTTTAACATTTTATTTACACTTAATGTTGTTGTAGGTATACGCATAGGATATTAAAAGGAAGCCCTTTCTGTCCTTTCAAAGACAATATATGATATGCATGGGGCACTTACATGGCTTAAATTATGGTGGATCAAAAATATAGCACAAATTTTATGTTTTGTTTTTGGTACAGAAGTTGGACAAGTGCTTCTGTCCTTAAATGGTTAACAAGTAAAACATTTAAATTTCTTATAGTTCACTATAACTCATTGAAAATGTGTATTTTCAACCCATGCATGTTTTTGTTACCCCTTCACTACCAAATACACTTTGTTAAAAAAAAATTTAAAAAAAATTAGCATTGCGTTTATTTGAAATACGGGAATCATACCTACCACATAAATGTAGGATAAAACATTTTTTTTGTATAGACTGATATTCAGAGGTGCAAATAATCAATATGTAAATGTATAAAATTTTACCTTTTATTTAAATTTTATAATGGCCTTCAGATATTGGAGATAACATATTTTAGACATTAGATGTTGTTATCTGTCGATTTGCGATATTTCAGACAATTCTGAAATATTAGCATAAAAGAAGACCATTTTTGTCACATACAGTAGTAGTGACAGATAAATACAAATACCCTACTATTAGCAAGGCACCTGACAATATTTGCCACTATGCAACTTCATGATAATGTCAACACCATGTAGCTCATGTAAACTAGTATATACTCTAAATTATTTTACTATACAGAGGTTTCTAAGATAAAATAACTCCTTACAAATAACATTTTGAACTGAATAATCTTGAACACTCTCACTTCTTCCCTTCCCCTAAAATTTGGAACCTATATTTACTGTCATCTTTAGGCAGATAATGGACCTGGGCTGCTTTAAGACATTTTCATTATTATAAGAAGAATATGCTGTTTGTAAACCATAGCTCTCTCTAATGGTTCTACAAAAAACTGCTCCATTGCTCAAATCTTGCATAGAGTCATAGCAAGTCTAATGTGTTAAATCTGTCTCCAAGCCCATCTCTAAGGCACTGTTTGCATTAATTGATCTCATTATGTACCACCATTTTAATACTGTGTATGACGTAATGTTTGTGCAAGAATCACATTGCTTCTAATTTAATTTGAAACATACACCTATTTTAGTTTGTCTTTTTAACGCTCAAACAAAATCTTTGATTTGATTTTTTTTATTTATCTTTTTATTTTCTACAAGAAAAGAATAAAAAAAAATATAGAAATCTCTAAATGTGGAAATGTAGTTTTTCTGAGCTGAAACCTAAACAGGTTGTAAATGGGAACAAGGGGTGAATATGTAGGAAGGACATCTACCTGCAGATGGATCTGAAGAACGTTCCGAATCAGATTATCAAAAATAAAGTTTCGGCATTAACCAGAAACAAGAAGGAGAAGTATCTGGCACAAAAAAAAGATCATATTCACTAAGTTATCTAACTTTTTCACTAGCTTTCTCTTTTTCCCTAGATCTAGTGTCTCTCAATCTAACGTTAATAGTCTGTGAACTTATTCATAGCTCTTTCTTTGACGTAAAACTCTGATATGTTGCAATCAGTCATTCTGATTTCTGAAAAGTGAGCTCTGTGATATTGCCTCTTAACACTTTTATATGGTTTCATCACTAGCACTCTTTGATCCATAACTCTTTCAATAACCATAAAGCCAAGACCTAATACTATCAAAAGCTGTCTGGTATTGCTAATGTATTATTTGCCACTAGCTGTGCCAGGAAAAGAGTTTCACTGTCTGACTGTCTTTTACCCTCAGTAGGCATCTAATCCTCTCAAACCCAGGTTGTGTATCTTGGTTTCTTTTCAAACTTTACCACTCTCTGCTTTTCTTCCAACCTAGCTGTCTCTGTCACTTAGTTCACGCACCCACACACTCCCTTCCCTAGCAATCTCACCTCCCCCCATTCCAAGTTGTCCCACATCCCTAGCTGCCTCAGTTTTTGCTAGTTTTCTTACTCTTTCATTCTCATGCTTACAGTCTCATCTTATCTCATCATGGGAAACATGGATAGTAGGCAGTCATGGGGCATATCAAACACCAACTGCCAAGTAGTGTATCAAATCATTCTGTGCTTTCACACTGTCCAGGGCTGTCTCTCAGACTTGGGCCTTGGGCTTGAGGAGAAAGTACAGGCCGGGGCCGGCCCCTAATGTATCCCCCCTTCCTGCGAGATCTCCTTCCATGATGGACTTGAAGATGGAGACTCATCAGTTCCCCTACAGAGGTGACAAAAGGACAGTACATGCAGCGGTGGAAGGGGTTTCCTTGGGACAAATCCAGTGGTTCATGATCAGGTCTTCCATTAGTTGGTTGATGTGAGGGACTTCTTCTTCTCTGGATTCCTCTCCCGACCACACGAGGAAATGCACTGGCTCCTTGGCCGTCATTCAGGTGCAGACGAAGAGGCAGTGAGGCTCCATCCTCGCATGTAGGTGCCATATCTGCACAAGAGTTACCCCACGTAGCAGAAACTGAAGGCAAGAGTCTCTGTTGTTGTGAAGCACTTGGTTGAACAGTTTTACCCCTCAATGGGGCACCAGCAGAGAGTTTGGAGTCCCGGTGATGACGTTGTAGGTGGTATTTGAGGGAACCAGACTGGGTTCCAGCATAGGAGCAGTGAGGGCATTTATAGGGGCGCTCACCTGTGCAGAAAAGAAAATGAAACCGTGTAAGAAAAGGCAAAGCTAGAGACTATATATTAATGATAGATAAGGAATTGGGGTATCCATGCTAGAAATGAGTGATTACATAAAAAAAAAAAAAAATAATAGAGACAAACAGAAATGTGAGAAATGGAAACAAATATCACATAGCTAAAAGGATGCTCTCTCCACTCACCTAAACTGCATCTTAGAGAGCATAGAGCAAGAAATCATCATGAATATTGTCTTCATTTCAATTAAATTAGAATTTTACTTTTGGTATTTATTTCTGTGCGTATTAGATTTTTCTTTTACAAAGAACTAATAATTATCAACTTGAGGGGAAAGGGGAGGGATGAGTTGAATATAAACTAACATGAAATTCACATACATTTTAAATGGCATGTTTAATCCCAAGAAAGATATTATATAATTTATTTATCATTATTTGTGTATATTGGTTTTGTGTAAATCCGGATATAAAAAAGTGAATGTTGGCTGACCATCTCCTGCACGGGTGGATATCTAATTTTCAATTATATCTGCTTTTAGCACGATCGTGTTCCCTGTGGATCCCTTTACATAGGAAGAGGAATACCTACCCAGCCTTTATAGATGCAAGACGGACTGGAACTACGGGGCGGTAAGAGACTGGTAAAACTTGCCCCTGGCTAATTTTATCATATTTATAATACAACCGGATCCCACCCATGGGCCCGTAATAATATAACATTATATTACATATCTGCCAGATACAAAAACATATTGTCTGGATTGTTTCGTTTATTTATTTTTTTATTTGTTGCATTTTATGTTGTGTATTTTTAAATGAACACTATAGGGTCAGGAACACAAACATGTATTCCTCACCCTATAGTGTTAAAAACACCAACTAGCCCCCTGCCCTCCCCTTATACCCTTAAAAATAGTACATTCTTACTTTTATTTCAGTCAGTTGCTGCTGGCTCTGCCCCGGATCTGCCTGCTTGACTGACATCATCAGGAATGATGATCTGAGCTAATCCTAATGCTTTGTCATAGGAAAGCATTTCACTAGCTGAGATTGTTAAGGAGGCAGATCAGGGGCAGAGGTAGCACAAGTCAAACACAGCGCTGGCCAATCTGGATCTCATCATAGAAATGCATTTAATCAATGCATCTCTATGAGGAATGTTCAGTGTCTCAGGAACCACCTCTATTAGCCATTTGAGGAGTGGCTAGTGGAGGTATCCCTAGGCTGTAATGTAAACACTGCATTTTCTCTGAAAAGACAGTATTTACTGCAAAATGCCTGAAGGGACTGATTATGTGCACCAGAACAAAATACAAAAAAGCTATAGTTGTTCTGGTGACTATAGTGTCCCTTTAATAAATGTTCACTTGTCTTTTATACAAATCTAATATTTATAGCACTACAAAAAACACCAGCACATCTGTTTCAAGAGGAAGTGGTAAGGCAACTGAAGTGGCGGGATTTCATTTTGCCCAATAAACCCCTTTCGTCCAGAGGTTTATGGAAAATATGTACAGTCAGCTGCTTAGGTGAAAATAGGCAGGTGTAAATTAATTCAGGTTAATTTGCTAGATACCAATCATTTTCATGCAGTAATGCATATTTAATTCAAAATGTGATTCCGTAGAAATACCCTAAGGAAAATAAAAATGAACAAATGGAAGCAAAACATTCCTAGAGAAGTTTAGGAGCCATGATCCTTTATCAATTCCATAACCCATTATACAGCACTTCTGAATTTGTTGGCGCTTTATAATTAATAATAGTGTAGTGGATTCTCAGATGAAAAAATGCCTGCTTTTCTAGTAGAAATCCCTGTTACAGGAACCATACATGCAATCCCTCAATTAAAAGAAAACTAACCCTTTCAAAGTCAGATTAACAAAAACAATACAAAAAAATAACAAAACACCCAAGACATGCTTGTATGATGTAGACCCATCATTAAGTCTTCCTCTCATCTCTACCCAATGCATGGTGAGTGCTGTTTGAAAACAAATAAGAAAATGGAGTGCCTTGGACATAATGCTTAGCCAAAATGCTTGATCATTAGCCCTCTCAATCTCTCAACCAGTATTTGGGGTAAATCAATACTGAAACTTTTTATATCAGAGAATAACCTCTATATCTTTTTTTCCATCTTCTGGTCACTATGGTAGGGAAAAAGGTCTTAATGGTGGTCTAGGAGTTCCCTGGACCAACTATTACAACACCAGGGGGTGACTATTTCTGTTGAGTCAAGAGAATGCTCAATCCCACTGGTCCTAACAAAAAAATAAACACAAATCTAACAGGACTAGGGTATAAGTATGAATCCTTCCCTCTGATAGTTCCCACATTTCTGAACATCAACCCCATCAAACTCACTTAACGCCTTACACTGCTTTTTAGGGGCCAACTAGTAAAACAATACTCTTTGTAAACACACTGCAGAGAGAATGTTATTAAAACACCTACAAAACAATGGAATAAAATAATGTAAACAAATTAATAGGAGCAGACAACTAAAAAAAATCTGTATGGTCATGTTGAAACCTCTAACCTGTGTGAACTCGAAGATGCACCTTCAGGTGGTGGGAGGAACGGAAAGACTTGGCACAGAAGGGACAATCTCTACCAGTTGCTCCACGTGGTCTCTCTGCCTGTGATGAGTTGATACCCCATCCATTCTTATCTGTGGAATGAATGGGTGACTACTGAGAAATTGCAGTATAGCTCCCTTTTCTATAACAAATCAATTAATGAAAAGAGATAATACCAACTATCAATATATGTCTTCTGTGTTTCTTTCATGTGTATGAATTGGGCCTTTAAGAATAAAAACAGTAAAAAATGATGGTGACTAATAACTAACCTTTACCCTGTTTATTCTTCTATATGCATTATGATGAACCTTTATACCTTGTGATATTCACAAGGCAAATACTTACTCTATACATTCTGAGGAAAATGTTACCCTCCCCCCAAAATAATATTTATTAACCTTTTCTTACCTGGGTACCCAACATTTTTTAGTACAATGCCACTAGAACCCTGGGAAAGCATGACCTTGGCTGCAGCTCCATCTCCTATAGCTGAACTCATAGACTGTCCTCTTCCAGCAGAGCCTGTTACATCATGGTCTCCCTCTCCTCCCTGCACTGCTCTTGCTGTGGCCTGGAGCATCTGTGAACAGGTGGCATCTCCAGGTGGTGGCAGCCTCAAAAGAAGACCAGAATAAAAACTCTGATATCCAAGGAGCCTGGAGGAGGAGGAAGATGGAGAATTTGAGGTGGTGGCATGTGGAGATTGACCTGACTGATGCCCAGGGGGCTCTGGCCCTGCTACAGTCTTTATCTTGCCTAAATGAACCTTCATATGGTTCTTTAGGAACCAGGATTCCTTGAAGCATCGTCCACATACTGAGCATCTGTGATCAAAAGAGTCTTTATGCTTGCGCATGTGGCCTTTCAGGAACCAGGACTGTGTGAAACTCTGGGAACAGATCTCACACTTGAACTCAGCAGGAGGTGTAGCTTGAGTGGGGACTGGAGTTGGCAGAGGTGCAGCAATTTTGGGTCTCTGGGGGGCAGCATGTCTTCTTTCAACATGTCCCACTAGTTCACCCTCCTGGGAAGCAGCAAAGTCACATAGGTGACACTTGTAAGGCCTGTGAAGTATTCGGAGGTGACGCTCTAGTTCAGCTGCCTTGCGAAATTTACCCTTGCAGAAAGGACAAGGGTGACGAAGTGGAGGAAGAGGAGCAGGAATAGACAACAGAGGGACTGGTTCATGTGTGTCTTCTGGAGTGTGGTCTGTGATAATGGGGGAGCTTGGTTCTTTTTGATGTTGCCCCAGGAGTAAAGGCCTCTGGGAATTAGACTCAAAGAAAGACTTAGTGACTCCTCGGCCCTGTGCAAGAGGCCCTCGCACTCTGTGTGTGCTTGCATGTAAGGAGAGAATACTGATAAATCTAAACTGCTTTCCACAAATTGTACATGGGAACTGTCTGGACTTGGATGTTGTGCTATCAGCAAATCCATTGGAATGACGTTGAAGATCAAGTTCTTCATCAGCAAAAGAAAGGCCAAGGAGAGATGCTGAGACAGGGGGAGAGGTAGGAGGAGGAGAAGGAGAAGCCCGAGAGGGAGATGGGGAAGATGGAGGAGGGGAGGGGGATGCTGGAGGGAGACACAAGAAAGGAGATGTCTCAAGGTTTTGGGGGGAGGATGAGATGGCTGGGACAATTGGGGAAACAGATTCAGATGTGGTAGATGAAGCAGGAGAGTCGGCAGGTGGACATTGAGAGGCTGATGGCGGTGAAAGCGAAGCAGAAGCAGAGGGAGAAGAGACAGACGGTGGAGGGGGAGACTGAGCTATAGAATGAGGACTTGGAATAAGAGTAGGATGAAAAATAGCAACACTTTGAGGTGACATATTCTCTGGAAGAGGGCAGAGTGAAACAGGAGAAGGGGAAAGTGGAGGAGAGGAGAGAGGAAGAGAGGTTGTTGGAGAGCTAACTCGAGCAATAGGAGAAGTCTTGGAAGGTGACCCAATTGAGATGCAGTTCACTTGAGGAATGGAATTAGCAGTAGTATGGGAATCTGATGAGGATGAGGAGTCACCAGGAGATGGAGAATGATGGAAGGCAGGCTGAGGTGAAGTAGTGGATTTACTGAAGTCCTGGTCTATAGATTGTGGAGAAGAAGGACTTAGATGGGATATCAGTGTGGATTGTTGAGAAGGGGGTGGAGCCTGGGCAAGGAGGTGTGAAGCAGAGTCCATCTCTGAGGTGTGCTGCAGCCTGTCTTTCCAGCAGAGAATGATGACTGCTCTGTCTCCTAGAAGAGAGAAGCAATTAGGACTATCATTACATTCAAAATTCTAGAAACACAGATGAAAAGAGATAGAAAGTTGCTCAACTCTAGCTACTCAGATACAACAGACAAACACTTCAGAGTGACTAACTGAAATAAACTGAGACTATTTTTAAGGGTGGTTGTTTAGGAACTAAAAGAGGCTCAAAATAATGTTTTGACATTAAAACATGTGTCACAGTATACTTCGTTAATAACATTAGACAACAGAAATTTTGGCCATGTCCCTGATTTGTACATAAGATGACAGCCAGCTGGTATAATATAACGCAATGCATTTTATTTTTGCCAATCAAATAAAACAGGCAAATTTAATATTTTCTATGAAATGTTTTTGCTCCTTCTTTAGTTACAGGTAGTTATAGATCAAATATTCATTGTGCACAATATTTTCCCCATAAACTTTTACTTCATCACTCATCACCTCCTTTATCCACTTAGAACTGATAAACGGTCCCCCTATTAAAGGGACTCTGAAGGCACTCAGACCATTTCATCTCACTGAAGTGATCTGGGTGCTATGTCCCTGTAGTTTTAACCTGATAATGTTTACAGTGCAGGGTTTAAATGCCTGTAGTGTCTGTCATTCTGACAGCCACTACAGACATTTCCGGAGTACTAGGCAAGTAAAACATTGCAATTTATCATTCATAGAAATCCTCTGATTAGCGCAACATAGTATTTTAATGCACATGTGCACTAGCCTTCTAATGCTTTAATATGAAAAAGGAAAGTAAAATGGCTTTTTTCTTTCACCTAGTGCAAAAGAGAAACTGCAATGTTTACATTGCAGCACTGTGTCTGCCCACAGTGGCTGTCTACCAGACAGCCACTAGAGGGCTTTCTGAATCGAACTAGACCTTTGGTCCAGTATCCTATGCTTGACATCCTTACGCTCTCCCAACGTCAGATTTTTCCCCATAGGAAAGCATTGATTCAATGCTTTCCTATGGGGAGGTCTAATGTGCGCGTGGCATTTGCCTCACATGTGCATTACCACCTGCTCGTCGGGACATGGGCGCTTAGATCAAGTAAGTAAATAAACTTTTTAACTTTTTTTTTTTTTTTTTTTACCAGGGAGGGGAGCGTTAGAGAGGGGGGTGGCAGAGGGAGCTTTAGTGCCAGGAATACAACTTTGTATTCCTGGCATTGTAATATCCCTTTAAAGGGCCACTCCACTGCCCGAAAGAAATAAAAATCACTGTTTTGTTGATATACCTCAAATGAAAACTTGCCTGCATTTAATCATGCATTTTATCCTTAGGGATATATATAAAAAAAAGTTTGTAAAACCTGCAAATCTCTTGTTTGCAGCCTTTGCAAACCCTCTACTTTTAATCCCACCCAGACTTTTTGTGGCTGTCTAATCACAGACTTCCCAATGCAGCTCAATGAGAAGGCTGGTGCTCTGGGTCATTGCTGCCTCTTGCATTTAGCTCTACTGAACTAACCAGACCAGGAAGTAACATGATCTCTTGTCTGCTTAAAAGCCAAGGAGGGGTAGCCAGGTTCATTTATAAAAAAGTGTCAATTTCTATTGAAACCTGGAGTTTTTGCAAAGTGAAAAAGTAGGCCACCATCTTCACACATAAAGCTTTGCAGCAAGCTAAAGTGCTTTATAGGTCTGTAGTGTCCAGACATGAAGTGGTCTGTGTGACTATAGTTAAAATAACTTAGAGATTTCCATTTTTTTTTTTACCCATCACGACTGCTGGGAGATGAAGGCTTACGGTTAAAGAACTACTATTGTCTATCAGAGCACATCATCTCAATTAAGTGGTCTTGGTGAAGTGATCCTTTAGTTTTAACCCTGCAATGTAAAATCTTGAAATGTTTTAGAAAGGGTTAAATCCACCTCTAGTGGCCATATTCTAGAGAACCACTGGAGGTGTTTCCACTACACTGACTGAGTATGACATTTACGTGGAAGCTCATAGAAAAGCACTAAATTCAATGCGTTCCTATGAGAAGCATTTGGATGTGGGTGTGGTACTTGCTCCTCTATGTGGACCATTGGATACGACTCTGGAAAAAGAGCCAGATGACGTTGTGGGAGGCAGGGCAGCTGACAGTACCAATGGAGCCACTGTGCTTGAGTAAAGGCAAGTAAAACCTTATTTTAAGTTTTTTACCTGTAAATAGGGCAATATAGCTTTAGGAAAACAGGTTAACAAATGTATCAATGATCCTCAGATCTCCTTTCCAGTAACAATTATCAACAATTCCTCATATAAAAGACTGGTGCTAATTGTGCCAAAGAGTGTTCAACCACCCATATATGTACAGTAAGACTGTGGTGCCCAGTTCCCTGGCACTGTTGGCACTAAATATCTCTTAGGTTATATTTTATGCCCCCAAATGTACATTGTTATGCTGTGTTCGCTACTAAACCTTACCTTGCTTGGGATAATCATGGAATGACAGCTATGTGTAAGCTCATGCACCAGTGTGGATGGCAGGTGTGAGTGCCCTAAATGGAGGCCATGTATCCTCTGTTCCACAAAGACCATCAGAATTTCTGCATATTTTGTACATGTCTAGAGAAAGATTAGTCCGACAAATTATAGGGTATATAGAACACCTGTAGTTGGGAAGTATTGACACATCATATGACAAGCTAAAATAAGTCATCTGAATAAACTCCATTAATCTAGCTGCATGACAACCCACTGACTACATCATGCACAAGAAGATCTCATTACAGGAAAAAAATATTGTCTATTCTCCTCAAACTCTCTAAGTCTTTAGAAGACAAACCCAAAATCCTCAGACAATTCAAATTATCCTGCAACTTTGACTCTTCTATCTAGACCAATCTGCTGGCCTTGACATTCTTGACTGTAAAATGATAATTAATTCAAAAAAGAAATTAAATCCTGGACTCAATGGCTGCAGTGAAGGTAGAATCACTAATGTAACAACATGCAGAGTCCAAAAAAGATGTTCAACTCTTGATAACCATGTCAATCAAACTAGTAGTAAACAGTATCCACTGTAGAAGTATCCATGCAGGTAAAACTGGAACTGTGAAAACAGTAGGACGATCCAAACCAAGACGATCATTTCATGCTTCAAGATATCTAGGAATGGATAAACATTAATCTGCTCCATCTCAACCCAGTAAAAGATGATAAATTAATTTAAATTGTGCCTATAAAACCCCATCTCCCAACAAGCAGCCGACAATCAACCAATGCATTAGATGTTCCCTCTACATCTCCTATCTACTCTTTTCCTTATGTAAGAAATGGGTGTTATGGAGAATCCAGCTTTCCCTAAAACTCCAGATCATACAACCACAAATACCACACTAAAACACAATGGATAATTCCCAGCATAATATACCAAGACAAAACTGGCACGTAAAAAACAGTAATCCCTGAATTGGTACAATTATTCCTGGACTACAGCAATGTATTCTATATGAAAACGATAGATTATTCATTATCCTAGCTATAGGCAGTCCAGAATACTGCATCCAGAATTATCTCTAGGAAATGGGCAAGGCCACAGTTACAAAAGTGCACTGCTCATCTTTGAGCAACATGCTGTTGGAGACTGTACAGGATGGCATATTATATTTAACTGACGACAACGAGTCATATTGGAAAGAAAAAAATTTAAGGTTGTATATTCTTTATACACAGCTCTGGAAAACGTTCTCTCTCTCTATATATCTATCTGTCTGTCTATATCTATCTATCTATCTATCTATCTATCTGTCAGTGTAGTGGAAACACCTCTAGTGGTTCTCTAGAATATGGCCACTAGAAGTGGATTTAACCCTTTCTAAAACATTTCAAGAGTTTACATTGCAGGGTTAAAACTAAAGGATCACTTCACCAAGACCACTTAATTGAGATGACGTGCTCTGATAGACAATAGTAGTTCTTTAACTGTAAGCCTTCATCTCACAGCAGTCGTGATGAGTAAAAAAAAAAAAAAATGGAAATCATAAATTATTTTTAAACGGACACTATATATATATATATATTTATATATAAATACGTGTGTGTGTGTGTGTGTGTGTGTGTGTGTGTGTGTGTGTGTATATATATATATATATATATATATATATATATGGCTATCTGACCATCTTATTTCCAACAAAATGTTAGAATTAGAAGTAGTAGGAACAGTTAAGGAACAGCAAAAGGGGCACAAACAGAAAGCAAAACCACAGGTCTTACAGCCCAGGTCCCAACAGGTGGGTTTATGCATGGAAGAAATCAATTAATGATTAGTCCGCCCATTGGTTCATTCTTCCATTGTGCTATTCAGAGATTGGGAATTAATCCATATAAGCTGATTTTCATCTGAATTGAGATTCTTCCCAATATGAATGCTAAAAATCTATAAAATGTTATGTTGCATTCCACCGGTAAAAAAAAAAAAAAAAAAAGTACAACAGCTTGTAGGCGAGAAACAAGCAGTCCACAGATAAAAAAAACAACTATATACTATGTATATGTAATACCAATAATCAAATTTATATTATGAAAATAAAAAAGATAACATCAATGTCTAATTATTTAGCCTATATCCCAGTCTTTATTGAGTCGAACATGGACAAAGATGGTGCTCAGACAATACACTATAAAGTCACAGCATACCTGAGACAACTTCTTAAAAAAAGGCCCATAATGTAGATGTTATCAGTGTGTATATAAAGGACTACCTGAATAAATCATACAATGCACCTTTACTGATTCAAACTCATGGCATTGGAAAGTCTGTAGAGGTTGTTATTCATACTAAAATGTTCATGTTTTTTTTTATGCACGTCTGTAAAACTGCTATTATAAATACACCTGTTTGCTTTGTATTAATAATATTTGCACACACCTGTAGAGTGATTAAGTACACCTGTTAGTCCTGTATAGATATAATATTCATACACTGTATATAACTACTTAATTTACTGCACCTCCTCATAACTGCTTTTTAAAATTTACCAGGAATTTATATTGCCCAATGCCCAGAATATGCAGTCCTGGGTGCCCAGCGAACAGTTTTTCTATTGATTTAGCTGCACTATGTGCATGTGGCAGGGCTGCTGTAGGGAGGAGAAGTGGTGTGGTGGTAGGACTGGCCACCATAGCTAGAGTTGACGTAGGGCTACAGTAGAGCAGCAGGTATGGAGCAGCAGCCGCTCCTCGCAATGCAAAGAGCTGATGGACGGTTGTGTCGATATTTTTCTTTTGAGATTCAGAATACACTGCAATACCGGATCCGGCCAGTAGGTGTATGTATGGAAAGGCAGTGACAGGAAGCTACGTCTTATGCCTGCTTCTCTCTCCTGACTGAATCCGCAGGGGAGCAGCACAGAGTGCAGTGCAGAAACTCCCAGCCTGAAGAGACAGTCTACAGATCAGGTAAGTGAAGCATGGCGGGGGGCAGCCTACAGATCAGGTAAGTGAGGCATGGTGGGCAGCTTACAGGAAGGGTCAGGAAGGAGCAGGAACGTAAGTAGGAGAAGAAGCAGAAAGGAGAAGGGATAGGAAGCTACATCTTACGCCTCCTTCTTTCTCCTGACTGAATCCGCAGGGGAGCAGCACAGAGTGCAGCAGTGCATCTCTATGAGGAAAATTCTGCGTCCCCATACAGAGCGTGGAGACGCTGAACGGCACTGCTGCCTACTGTGCAGCACTGAGCCAGAAAAAACCTCCAGTGGCCATCTGAGGAGTGGCCACTTGGAGGTGTCCCTAAGGGCAATGTAAACATTGCTTTTCCTCTGAAAAGGCAGTGTTTGCATGACAATTCCTACATATAATGATTATACTCACCAGAACAACTACATTAAGCTGTTGTTGTTCTGGTGACTATAGTGTCCCTTTAAGGAGCAGAAAGGGTCTGCAAGGAGCACAAATGTAATGTAAAGTAGGAGAAGGAGCACAAAGGAACAGAAAGTGTCAGCAAGGAGCTGGAAGGGGCAGCAAGGAGCTGAAAGGGGTAGAAGAAGCACAAAGGTAAAGTGGGAGAAGGAGCAGAAAGGAACATAAATGAACAAGAATGGTCTGCGAGGAGCACAAAGGGGCAGCAAGGAGCATAAAGGTAAAGGAGCAGAAATATTCAGAAGGAGCACAATGGTAAAGTAGGAGAAGGGGCAGCAAGGAGCACAAAGAGACAGAAGGAGCACAAAGGTAAATGAGCAGAAAGAATCAGAAGTAGCACAAAGGTAAAGTAGGAGAAGGGGCATCAAGGAGCAGGAAGGGACAGAAGGAGCACAAAGGTAAAAGAGCAGAAAGCATCAGAAGTTGCACAAAGGTAAAGTAGGAGAAGGGGCAGCAAGGAGCAGAAATGGTCAACACGTAGCAGGAAGGGACAGAAGGAGCACAAAGGTAAAAGAGCAGAAAGCATCAGAAATTGCACAAAGGTAAAGTAGGAGAAAAAGCAGAAAGGGACAGAAGGAGAACAAAGGTAACGTAGGAGAAGGCACAGAAAGGGTCAGCAAGGAGCCAAAAAGGGCAGAAAGGAGCTGGAATGGGCAGAAGGGAGCAAAATTAGCAGAAAGGGATCAGAAAGAGAAAACAGCAGAAGGGTGCAAAATAAGCTGTAAAGTAAAGGAGCAGAAGGAGCCAAGGAGAAGAGAAGACAGTGTCAGAATAAAAAGAAGACCGTGTCAAATGAAGAGAAGAAAAGAAGAAAAGAAGATTGGAGCAGGAAGGACAAGTGAAGTGATACCTCCACTTCATTCTGGACACCACACTTCAAGGCTCTGGTCCCTGGGCCTGGCAGGAAAACTTTGGACCTTCTCATCTCCCCAGGTAAAAAAAAAATAATCAGTGTTAATGTGTTCACTTTTATTTACTGAGTGTTAGGTAGTACAGAGTGCCGCTGGTAGGGGTGCCGCAGATTGGACAGCTGGCTCTCCAAGTCATTCACTAGATCTCCATTAAAAAAAAAAAAAAGAAAAACATTATTATGAAACGGGAACTAGCAATTGGCTAAGAGCTTCAGCTGACCACTCTAGCCAATCAGCGGCACCCATTCCTGACGTCAATCTGCACTTCCTGACACTCCGTTTCAGAACCTGAATACCACTGAGCAACCTGGAGATCTGGAGCAGGAGGAAGCCTTTGGGTTTAAACCATGTAAAAGCAGTTTAACCCCATAAAGGAAAGAGAGTGTCCAGGGGCCTCCTGGCATCATAGCATTTTCATTTAGATGAAGTTGTTATGGTAACCAGAATGTAATTTGCTTAAAGGAATACTATAGTGTCAGGAATACAAACATGTATTTCTGAGACCATAGTTGTGAAAACGCTATTTCGTATCCTGCCCTTCTCCCCCCAAAATGGGTGTCCTGGTTATTTTCAAAATCTGGTCACCGTGGCTTTATGTGATAATGACTATGCCCTCCCCTTCGTGACACTTTCAAAAAGGGGCCAAGCATGGATGTCATTACAATTATGCCCCCCTTGGAAAAATTCCTGCGGATGCCCATTATATTTTTCCATGAGTGTGTGTGTGTGAGTATGGTTCAGAGAATGTGTGTTTGAAGGTATGTGTGAATGTGTCAGAATGCACATTGTCTATCTAGGTCAGTGATTGTTGCAGTGTAAGTGTCAAAGAAAGTGTGTATGTAGGTCAGTGAGGTCAAAGTTTGATTTAAAAAAAAAAAATCAACAATTTATACTTGAATTTAAAATTTTGAGAATATTATACATCTATAAATATACACATGCATACTAATATGTTCTAGTATATCGGAGCGTTGTCATGGGTTGCCACAGAAGGACCTGTCTTTACGCATCGGGATTCAGACCGCAACATTTCCCACCTGACCACCTCAGATAAGGTCCCTCCGCCCCTGGCCCAAGGTAAGCCTCAGAGAGGGGACAATTTGTGTTTAATCAAAATTGCTTTTTTAAAGCAGTCCTTGTCTTGCCCACAAAATCCACTACCTGCTCCGTCCTTCCACTACCCCCCGCCCCCCACAGACCCTGTCCTCCCACTATAACCTCTATACCCCACCACATTACAGCCACTGCACCCCCAGTACAGCCCCAGTCCTCCCACTACAGCAACTATTTCCCCCACTACAACCCCTATCCCCCACAATAGCCTCTGTCTTCCCACTACAGCCCCTACCACTACAGCCACTGTCCTTCCATCACAGTTCCTATCTACAAAACTACAGGCCCTGTCACACCACTACAACTACTATTTCCACTATATATAGAAGGGGCAGCAGGAAAAGTACCATGGTATAGTCATTGAGTAGGCTGCAAGCTAGTGTACATTACAAACAGGAGAAACCTGCTGTACAAAAGCAAGAGTAAAGGTAAATACACAAGGAAACATGGGGGAACAAAATATTTTCCGGAACTGTAAAATAAATTTGATTGTTACAGCTGGTTACCATGGTAATGCACCGTGTTAAAAACAGCAATAATTACCACTACAGGGTTAAGGAACCTGGGAAACTGCACCCAGACCACTTCAATCAGTTGACGTGGTCTGGGTGCCTATAGTGTTCCTTTAAATATCATACCCCTCAGCCCCAACAGGTTCTTAATCCAGTCCTACACTCATACATTACACCCCTTCCCCCCTACACACATACAGTACATCCCCCTTACATACACACACTTCATCACCCTTACACACACTACATCCTCCTTGCATACACACACACACACACTACATCTCTCTTACACACACACACTACATCCTCCATATCCTTTACACACACACACACATACACTACATCCCCCTTACACATACACTACATTCCCCTTACACACATACACTAAACACACTACATCTCCCTTACGTACACACACACACACACACACACAACATATCCCTTACATACACACTACATCTTCCTTACACACACACACACACACACACACACACTACATTTCCCATACATACACACTACATCTCCTACACACACACACACTACACACTACACACTGCATCTCCCTTACACACACACACATCTCCCTTACACACACACTACATCCCTCATACACACTACATCCCCCTATTCTCTACACTAGGGTGTTGCTGTGGGTAAGGGGGACAGGCCCAGTCATGAGTTGGCTCCTGTAAAACCCCTGGGCTTTACTAGGCAGACTTACATTAGTAGCCCTGAGTGTCCAGTTTCAGCAGGATACATAATAGGCTCCACACCTTCCCCCAACCAGAATGCAGGCTGCTCTCCTGGCCTGTGTCTGAAGGCTGCTGCTGTTGTTGGTTCAGCGTGCTAATGAGTCTCAGGGATCAGGAGTCTCCTTGTAAGTTTAAGTAGAGGATCAGTATATCTGTGCAACACTACGAGAGGGAAGGGAATTCATGGGGAGGGAGCTAATGGCTGCTAATATAAAACTTTGCAGTGAGCCCCTCTGTCCAGGCTGTCACTAACTTCCTGCAGAAGCCCATTGGCAGAGATTAGTAAATATCTGTCCGCAGATGTTTGAATGTGAGATGTTTAACAGTGAAATACATGAAGTGAGTGAGTGCATGGTGTGTGAATTAATAAGTGTGTGTCAGTGAGCAAAGTAATTTGATATGTAAATTGTAGAGAGGGAAATAGTTAACTGGGGAATGTAAATATATAAATTACAGGGGGAGAAAATCAACTGGCAGGGGGATGTAGATATAAAAATTAGGGTGTGAGAAGGTGATTTAATAGATGTGAATATATAAATTGGAAATGGAGAGGGTTAACTGAGAAATGTGGATATATAAATAGGAGAGGGTTAACTGACAGGGAGAATGTAAATATATAAACTGGGGAGTGAGAATTTGCACAAGAATGTCCATATAAAAATTGGAAAGAATTACATTATATTTCATAAGTGAATCACAGAGCTCCGCAGCAGTGTGTATCAGTGTATCACAGAGCTCCAGAGCACTAAACTTCACAGCAATGCCTGTGAAAACTGATGTAGGTTTAAATGCAGTGGGGTTTAGATTTAAAGGGTTACCTCAAACACTGCGAACAGTTCCGTGATTTAAAGTGGTCATGATGCCCATACATTGCCCATACATTGCACACACAGAGTTTAACCCATTTGTTGCTGGAGGGGTAACTCCATTTCTGGCAGAATCATTTGAGCGTCATTAACCAGCCCGGAATAAGAGTTCTGGGCTGGGTAGTGTCCATTCTGTACACATTTCTATGCACAGAGTTGCATTTATTGCCCAAGAGTGGTCCTCTAATGCTCTCAGTTGATAAATGGCCAGCGGGACTGGCATTCAGCTTCTGCAGAACTGTAGAAGCCGGAGGCACGTCACCAACCATAGGGGACCCAGGTAAGAGTTCAAATGTTGCAAAACGGTTTGCCCCATTACCAAGAATTTGGGCCATTATAACCATTTCAGCTGGCTGTAGTGAGTTTTGATGTTTGGAATACTCCTTTCATGCTGCAGTTGCATGGTTAATACAGCAGGTGTGGGCACTCTAAATATAGCTTTATATAGTCTGAATACATTGATTATATGGGATTCATAGAACATGTTGGGATTTAGGGGAGGACATAGTGTGAGTTAGAGGATGGGATTTGGGAGGGGCTAGAGTCTGCATGTGTGGGAGTGGCCATCAACTTTACCCTTTGACTGAAGACTCTGGTCTTGATGCTACCCAGCAACATCCCTGCACCGCACACTTTGCTACATCCTCTATACACACATGCACACTTCAGCCCCTATACACACGAACTGCAGCCCAACAAACATATATACTACAGACCCCAGCCATATATACAAAACAACAGAATTGAAACAAGCCCATTTACACGCAACACCACAAACAGCCCCTTTTACACACATATAATCCCAAGACCAACTTACAAATGCATTCACAGTACCTTTTCTTTGCTCTTTTGTCTTTTGGTATCCCATTTATGGAGACAACAGAGGCAATACACCAACAAAGGCAGAACAAACACAGAGTTGAACTCTCCCATGTGTGAACTCTCTTGCAGGTCTCTGCACATGGGGTGCCCTAGAAAAGCATTGAATGAACATCCTTCTTGACACGCCCCCTCTCATGCCCCAGCCCCTCCCACTAGGCCACTCTGAATTTAAAAGCCAGGTTGAATATTTTCCCAGACTGGCCCTGTATATATATATATATATATGTGTGTTTGTGTATTTATGTAGTGCGTGAGTGTGTGCCTCAGTGTCTATAGTTGGATTTGTACTGGAGTAATTGTCTATCAGTGTGGTTCTGTGTGTGTGTCTGTTGGTGTGGACTTCCGTGGGGCGTCTGAGAGTAGGTATCAGCAGCCTCATTGTGAAACGACACCTTGGCCAGTGGTCTTTAGGTAAATTGAGTTTGAAGCTCTTGTTTTAAAGGAACATTCCAATTAAAAAAAACAAAAACATTTATTCATCTTTTTTATAATTGGAAGATTCCTTTTTGTGTTAAATTTACTGAGCCAACCATTTCAATTTTGAAAGGATTGAAAATCTTGTCAATTCTGCTGTATTTCAAGGCTGGAGTGTCTCTGCACTGCAGCTTCAATATTTCTCCTGTGCAGTTATCATTACTTATCACTTCTGTCCAATCAGATGCATAGAGAAGAATTGGTACACACAGCAGCAATCACCACAATCTGCCAAGCTTCTCTATGAGAATCAGTAGTTTCTTCTAAAGTTCAAAGTGAATGACTCGGGAAACTTTCCTAACTCTCTGCGAGTTGTTCCTGGGGGGATTTAGAAGTACTGATTCCTCTTCACATTGGAAGTTTCACTTTGTCTATATAGCACTTAAAGAAACACACTGTACAATAGCCCTAAAACACACAGTGCACTGTAGCAGTTATATTGCCATGAGGACATCCAGCGTTACCCCAAACCCTATAGGAAAGCTTTGTATAATGCTTTTGTAAGGGAAAGTCCTAATGTGTATTAGGTTTCCCCTGCCGGCTGACGTTGATGGGGGAGGAGTGGAGGCAGAGTCTGATCGAGTGCTAAGATACATCGGTGCTGGAACCAGGTAGGTGACAGAAGGGGTTAAAAAATGCAGGGGCCACGATGGAGTGGGGCACTATAGGGAGCTAAAGTGCCAGGAAAATAACTTTGTATTCCTGACACTATAGTTTCCCATTTAACTCATTGGCAGAGATAGCTCAGCTGACACTCTCTGCCAGTGATCTGGCCCTGCCCTGCATGGCTTGGCTCATTGGACTAAAAGTATCCTCTTTCCAGGTGAGTTGTCAAGCCATTCACACACACTTTGACTACTTAACCAGGAATGGCTTCATTGCACTTTAGTGGGTATGCACATCTACCTGTGCTGTATAAATAAAATATACACACTCTGCATAACTACAGCACTTATTGTATATTTACTCTACTACAGTGTATATAAAGTGCTAAGGATACCTGTTGATAGAAACCCATGTACTCTATAACTATGTATATCCTCACCTTGTGGTATAACGTTTAAAGTACTAAAGCACATCTTTGTTATATAAATAAAATATACACACGTTGTAAAACTCCAGAACTTAAACTGTAAAGTGCTACACACGCCTATTATTATTTAAGTAAATGTGTATATGTGACTAAAACAAGCCAAAATATTTTTGTAAAGTATAATTTCCCTTCTAGCCCAGAGGGGGGAGCAGCAGCAGCATACAAATTAATGCATTTTCTCCCTTTCAATTCTTTTAAAACTGCAAGCAATGGCTATTTTAGGTTGGTATAGTAAGTGTCAATGTAACTGATCCCTTTTTATAGAATTTAAAACTACAGACTAACAACCTAGAATTACTCTGGCAGCTCTTATGAATGTGTATTATGGTGCAGGAGATAGTGCTTCCCTGTGTGCATAATAACAAGATGATTAGGCCATGTGTGTGTAGTGCTGCCTATGGCTGCTTCAGGCTGAACTTAGTGTGGAGATAACAAGGAGATAAGCAGGTGATAACATAAATTGCTGTATACAGAATAATAAACTCAGTCTGCTTGTCTTATCAGTTATCTCCTTGCTGTATCTTTATTAACAAATCCTTGCTTCTCGAGTGTTCATATGCATTCTTGTGTTCAATTTTATCATGTATATAGGTGTTATAAACCATTTGAATATGTACATATCTATATGCTTAACATAATATGCACCTTTATATCAGTGTATGCCTCCTCCCACATTAAATCCTCAAACAATCCCTATGGTAGTAGAAGAGTATGTGTTCTAACTTGTTACCCTGTATATCTGTAATGTAGCTCACCTCATTCCAAACACATTTAAACTGAAGGACTTGAAAAAGCCCTAAACAAATAAATCATGCTTATTTTTTAGTCTGATGACTGGAGCATATTATTTAAAATTTACAAAAAAACGAATAGAATTAAAAAAAAATAATAAAAAAATATATATATACATATTGTGTATATACATAAATGCACGTGTCTTTATACATTATTGTGTACATCTAGTCTGAATAATACTGCACATGACATGTGTGTGTATATATGTAAACATGTCTGTTGTATATTCACCAAACGGCTAATAGTTTTGAACTAAGGACAAAATTGCTAAATGTAAGTAAAAGCAGCTGATTTGGATTTTTTTCAGATCATCAGATGACAGAAGTGACAGATTAGCTACGTTCGCCCAAATTAATTAATTTGATTATAATAAAAATCACAGTTTAGTGAATAATCATTTATGTGTTTTGCTGTATGCACCTTTATGTGTATTTGTCTAGATATCTGTCTATTTTAGTGTTTCTCCGCATTGGTTGTGCATTCCTGTATGCAAACCACCACTTTTATGCATACTGATATATTTGACTGTCTGTATCTTGTATGTATGTTTGCCCAAGTTTTAATATTCTGTACATATATCCACACAAGTCATCTTTATGTGTACATACTTATGTATGCCATCATGATTATTTATATATATATATATATATATATCTTTCTCTAGCTACACCTATGTATAGCACCAACAGAGAAGGTGAAGAAAGCACTTTTAAAAGAAGCTTAAAAACCTTCATCTGTATATATTTCTATACTACTTCTGAATCTATATATGTGTACATACTTGTCTTTACCTCCCTTTGTGTATATCTCCACATATCAGAATTTTACTGTTTGAAGATGCATGGGTGCCTATTTATATCTGTATGAATGAATACCTCCTCATATCATTATTTTGCAGAAATAAATCTACATTATTCTGTAGGTTTATTTCTGAATCTTCCTAATTGTATATCTAAGAAAATATTGAGGGAATGTCTTCAGGGATATTTAAGGTCCTCAAGATCATTTTCCTGATTTGAAATCTCTGTACAGAGTTCCTGTCAGTCATTTACTAGGTGCCATGCACTAATGTATCATAGGCACTAGAGCAAAAAATAAGCTATGCATTTGAACACTGGTTTGCGTCTAGATTCCTTCTAAACCGTTTTGTTTATATATTTTTTTCGCCATCTCCCAAAACAGACTTTCATTAATTTGAATTTACATATTGAGCACAACTGCAGTGATCGTCAATGTCATTGATATTTTGTTGCAGGAAGATGCATCTGAAATCCACTGTCGCAGTGACAAATACCTGCATGAATTGCCATGTGCAGTGAAATAGCAATGTCTTTGAAATACAGAGAAGCTATAATACCTGTGGAAGAGTTATAAAAGGTATGCATGCAAAAATGCTATCAATCAAAAGATTTACCAGTTGCACAATTCTGGAACTTGAATTTGGAATGGATCTCTTGAGATTAGGGGAATATAAAATTCATCTTTACCAGAGGAAGATTAAAGCCTTCTAGGATGTGTAAATCATTATAAAGTAATGCTGCAATGCCATGAAAATCTACCTGTCCTCTCCCGATCTCTCCCCGTCCCTCTTGACTAGTGTCTCTGACTGCCTCTCTGCTGTTTCTAACTGGATGGCTGCCCACGTCCTTAAACTAAACTTGACCAAAACTGAAATTCTGGTCTTTCCTCCCTCAAGTGTTGTTACTCCTGTGTCTGTCTCCCTCCAAGTCAACGGTGCTACCATCAGCTCCACCACACAGGCTCGCTTCCTAGGTGTTCTCTTTGACTCCAACCTCTCCTTCAAGCCTCATGTTCAATCTATCGCCAAATCCTGTCATTTCCATCTCAAAAACATTGCACGCATCCGCCCCTACTTAACGCCAGATGCGACTAAGGTGTTGGTCCATTCCACTGTGCTTTCTCGCCTTGACTACTGTAATCCGCCTCTCAGTGGTCTTACGTGCTCCCAACTTGCGCCGTTACAGTCCATAATGAATGCGGCAGCGAGGCTCATCTTCCTGTCCGCCCGCACCTCCCATGTCTCACCCTTCTGTCAGTCCCTACATTGGCTTCCTATAAAATATAGAGCTCAATTTAAAATTCTGGTTCTTGCTTTCAAATCTCTACATAATGCTGCTCCCATCTATCTATCCTCCCTTATACACAAGTATGTCCCATCTAGGCCCTTACGATCTGCTGAAGACTTACGTCTATCTTCTGTCCGTACCCCCACCTCTGATGCTCGCCTTCAAGATTTCTAGAGGGCTGCACCGTTCCTGTGGAACTCGCTTCCCTCCTCCGTTAGATGCTCACCCAGTCTCCACTCCTTCAAAAAATCGTTAAAAACCCACTTCTTCATAAAAGTATATCAATTAAACTGTTAATAGCTCCTGACTGATTCCTCTTCTGCATCTGTCACTAGTCTAATACTATCCTTACCTTTTTGTGTAATTTTACCCCACTCCCTCTAGCATGTCAGCTCATTGAGCAGGGCCCTCAACCCCTCTGTTCCTGTGTGTCCAACTTGTCTGGTTACAACTACATGTCTGTTCGTCCATCCATTGTAAAGCGCTGCGGAATTTGTCGGCACTCTATAAATATAATAATAACGTATTAGCCCTCTTTAAGTAATTGCTCACTTTCAGCAAAAGGCATACTCGCATAACTCAAAAGTACGAGTAATTAGACATCATGCGAACGTGGAAGCAAATATCTATTCTCAAACCTCTACTATCCTCTCACTAACAGTCTGGGTAGAAGTGCATCAGATATTTTGCCCTCCCAACTTAGTATGGGAGAACACAATGCAATGGAGGAGTAGACACATAATTTCAGTGCATATGTGGAATTCTACTTTTAATTTTATTTTTCAGACCTAACAGACACATATTTGGTAAAAATAGGTAAACTTACTTTTAAAATGTAATGGTTCATCTTTAAAGGAACACTGAAGTGTCAGGAACACAAACATGGATTCCAGACACTATAGTGTCAAACTAACTATTTTCCCTTGCATTTGCATGGGAAAGGAGATTTTATTCACCTCTTCTCCCACACAGCTTGCCCCGTCTCTATTTACCATAAAAAAGCATTTGGAGGCAATTGCGCATGCCCTGCAAAACGCAACGCTAAACCAATCAGTGGACTAATAAGCACTTCTAGTGGCCGTCTGAGTGATTGCCATTAGAGGTGTTTCTAGGCAGCAATGTAAACACTGCCTTTTCTCTGGTTCTAGTGACTATAGTGTCCCTTTAAAGTATGTCTAACTCCATGACCGTTACAAAGAGATACTTCTATTTTTAAAGTTATTTTAACTTTCTCTGACAATGTATATGTGCATCTGATTATGTGTCCTTACATGTGACCCCCAGGAGTGTCCTTTGTTATTTTGTTAATCTGTATTTGTCTATGGATATAATTAGTTGTGACTGTAACAATGGGCAACAAACAATCAGCAAACAGTATTCATAAGTAGAAACTACTTTTTTGAGAAGCCAGAGATACATACTTACAAAGCTGGTAGCATTTCTTGCCTGTCTGATACTACTACGTTATCATTTTTCAGTCAGTGAGCATTTGGCATGAAATAATAATAACAAAGGAAAGGTACATATAAATGTGTGTGAGTGTGTACATACATATATATAATATATATATATATAATATATATATATATATATATATATATATATATATATAGTATTATTAAATGTGATAGTGAACTCACAGGTGCCGGTGTAAAACTGCCTGACCCGTGATATTGGTGTCATGGGATTTATATAAAGTCTTATTTTGGTTCATAACTACAGGACCTTTCTCAAGTTTAAAGTTTTTACCATTTTTTTTGTTTATATTTAGCATAAATAAGGTCTTGTTCATAAAAGCTGAAACACTAATCTCTTAAAAAAAGATATTTTTTCCCACATATAACTTTTGTGCTGTGAGTGATCAGATTATTATTTTCTTTCTTTTTGTTTTTTTTTAATACTTTTATTTGAAGCATCTGTTTAGCACCCAGGCATTCACACCAGCATCTATGAGAAAGCTACTCCATGCACGCTATTTATTTATTTATTTGCATTTGTCCCCATGTGAACCAGTGTGTCTATGTATGTCCCTGTGCATAGTCCTTTGTATAAACGGTCATGAGTGAATCCAAGTAAATTAATCCTTATTATAAAGTTAAAAAAGATGCATTAAAATAGGACAGAATTGAATATTAAAGGTAAATGTTACAGCTATGATGTTGGAAATGCTTCTGCAGTAATTTTATGGTTGGGAATAAAAGATAAATGCTGGCATTTATAGATAAGCTTGTGGTGCTCACACAGTTCAAAATGCTACATGTCTCTTTTTTTTCCCACTTGTGCTTTGTTAATGGATAACTGTGTATCCGTAGGTATGATTTCTGTTTGTGGTTTTGAACAGGCTTTGGAGAGCCTGCAGTATACATAATGACAGTGTTAATTCTCTCTCCAACCCAACCCCCCCATGATTTAGTGAACTCTTAATTTGATATGCAGGATCTCTACAATGACTGAACCCATTGTGACTGTACCACCTCAGTCCCCTGCTGGTGACCCTATGTGTGTATCCATGCATGTAATCCTGTGTGTCTGCTTATAATACCCACAGTGTCTGAGTATATATAACCGTGTGTCTGCATATATAATCCTGTGTGTGTGACGCACTGTGCATGTGTAATATGAATGTCCTATCCGTATGTATTTATACTTAATGTGTATGATGACATTGATGTCTCTGTGTACTGTAGTTGCATCAGTCTATGCCTGTGTGTAAGTGGATGCTTACAAATCTATATCTAACCTTTGCGTTACCCATGTGCATATTAGATTTGGTGCATCTGTTTTCATTTGCTGTGTTTTTAATATTGTGTGGATTTATGGCTGTAGGTTTATTTATGTAAACAATGTAATTAATATGTATCTAATTTAATGTGGTTATAGTCAGGTGTGTGTATACTATAATATGTCTGTTTCTACCACCGTGTGTGCTGCTGTAAACTTGTTGAAGCCGAGTATAAGTAAGTGAACAGGACCCCAGGAACTCTAATATTATTTTTAGGAACTTCTGAAGTTATATTGTAACAATCCTTTATAATTATTCTTTCATATATGTAAGAATTGCTGTATGGTCGTTTATTATAATGTGTGGCAATTTATTAATGTTTGTTGCAAATATGTCTCTCTATCTCAACGTCTGTCAAACCTAAACCTGTGTGTGCATATAAATGTTTCTATGTAAACATTATGTGTATTAATCTGTTTTCTATGTATATATGTATGTACGTGCACATATTCCAATCAGGTATGTATGTGTCCATGCACCATCACTGTGTGCAAGTGTATATAACTATCTGTATGTATATACGCATGTATGTATGCTTGTAAAAGTCTGTCTAGCTATTCGTCTTTATTTGCATATGTAAACATGCATATATGTAACAGTTTTTTTTAAATGTAGTCATATGTTTAAATGTATTTCAATGTATCCCTGTTTTGCTCTGTATGCATGTGTGTGTGTGTGTATGTGTGTGCCCATGTAATTTCATCACACATTCATTACTCAGACTCACTCAGCCATGTAATAGAGACAGAGAGAGCGAGAGACAGAAAATCACAAGGCCTCATTCTACCCCCTCCCTGCCCAGGCCCCAGACAGACAGGCGGGCATGTATATGGGGGGCGTGGGTTACAACTCACCCTTTACTGCACCCCATTTAACCCCTTACTTAAAGATGCACAATTATTTATTTATAAAATATTTTACCAGGAAGGATACATTGAGATTTCTCTCTGTTTCAAGTATGTCCTGGGTCCACAAAACATTGCATTAATTTCAAAGTAATTTCTCCCAGCAATGAAGGGTTTTAAAAGTATCACATTAAATATTATCCACAAAATTACATCACAAGAGTTAAAACTACATCCCTCCCCCAGTTCTCCTGTACCCCTGTCCTCTCTTTCTTTCACCAAAACCCTTTCACCTTATTCTGTGGCTCCCCCTCCTTCTCTCTCCTTACCCCCCCCACTGCTTCTCAGTACAAAGACCCTCTCATTCCCCTATCCCTCCCGCTTTTATTCTCACATTCTCCCTCTTCCTACCCCCCCTTCCCCTCTTTCCCCTGCTCAGCAGTGAGAGAGAGAAAAACACACACTTAAAGGACAAAAAAAGTTGCCCTGTTCCCGTAATGTTTTTCCTGGTTTTAGATACTCTTTCTAACCACACGATCTCTAATTTTGCATGTTGGCACTTGTCTGTCTTCTCCCTTTCTGCTTCCATCCTGCGTTTCTCTGCATCCCTCTCTCTATCTTTCTCCGTTCTTCCTCTCTTCACTCCCTGTCTCCCGTTCCTCATTCTGTTTCTCTCCTTCTCCCTCACTCCCTTTCTCCGCCCCCTCTCTCCGCTTTCCTCTCTCCTTTTTTCTCCCTTCCTCTCTCTCTCTTTCTCTTCTCTCTCGCTCTCTTTTTTCTCTCCCTCTCACTCTCTCTCTCTTTCTGTCACTCTCTCTCCCCACCCTTCCTCTCTCTCCCCCTCCTCACTAGTCCCCTTTGCACCTGCTAAGTTTTTTAGCAATATTTCATTTTTTTCTTTCCCTTCTTAAAGCATTAAAAGAAGCAAGCAGAATCCCACCCCTCCAAAAAAAAAAAAAAAAACTAAATATACTTCCTCCCTGCTCCCTGTCCTGTCCACACACCCTGGACCCTATAACGGGATCAGAGCCATGAATCCCGTACAATAAATGGATAAAATAGTGTTCCCCGAGAAGGAAAGTCTGTGTGTTATACTCACACTCCCGGGCAGAGAAGAGATTATCTGCTCCCGACGTCAGCGCTACGTGGTTGGTGAAGAATTAAACCCATGGCAGGGACAGCGAGATGCCTCTTTGTGCTTTTCATGCGTGCTGCAATTTGCATTTTCTAAGGGCCTTTCATCAAGCATGCGATCTCTCAGGGAGAGTTACACAAAAGCAGCTCAAATCCCCGCCACAAAAATGGATGCCCCCCTTCCTCCCCCCTCTCCTCCTCTATCTCTCTCCTCTCACTCGCTGCCTCTCTCACTCTCTCTCTCCTTTTCCCTCTCTTTTTATAAACAGTCTCTCTTTCACTGCCTCTTTTCTCTCCTGTCTCTCTTCCTGTCTGCCTATTGATTAATTTCTGTCTGTCAACACTGCTCTGTCTCTCTCCCTCTGTTGATTTTTTTTCTCACTCTCTAATCTCTCTCACTCTTTCAGTGTTTTCTATTCATCCCTTTGCTCCTCTCCCTATTGCCCTCATATCTAATTTTCTCACTCTACTGACTCCTCTCTGTCTCTTTTGATCTAGCCTTCTATAGTTTTATTAGAATTTTCTTTAATTTTCTCTGGCTTTCCCTTCATCTCAGTACTTTAGTCTGTGTCCTCTCCCTGTCCCTCCCACTTTGTACCTTTAGTTCCTTTTTTATTTATTTATTTTTTTTACTCTTTTAGTGTCTCACACCTGCACTCTCTTTCATACACTAATCCATGTTCTTTCATCTAGTTCTATATTCCGTGGCTATGCTGAATATAGCTCTTTTCTGCATCTGTTGTCTGTCACTTGTGATCTCTTCTTCCTGATCTCTCACTCAAAGTCCTTATTTTTAGTCCATCTTCCTTATCAGATTTCTAATTCCCCCCCCTCCCCTCCCCTCTCCCTTGTAGGTCTCTGACCTGTAACTCTCTTCTACCTGCAGATTGTTCCTCACCTTTCCTCTGCCAACTCTAATTATCCTTATGTTTCACACACAGCCTTTCAGTGTGTGTACTCTCACTTTTATAGATGTGTTTCCCACTTCACTAGTTATCCTCACCTCTCCACCCTTCCATCTCAGTCTGGGATCTCTGATTTTCTGTCTCTCTCTTTTTACTGCAATATTTGGCTTTAAATTGATTTGCTTGTATAAATGATCTCTCCCACACTCTCTCCCTGTGTCCCTTCTGTAATGTGCTATCCTAATCCCCCCTTTTTGGATCTCACTTGGTCTCTGTATTAATTTTGTGTACCTTTTTCATTCTCCATTTTGCTGCTATTCCCTCATCTCTCTCCTCTCTCTTCCTGTTTATTTCTTGCTGCTTTTTCTCCTCACATCTCTGTGAAGACTCAATTTATTGATCAGCAGATAATGAGGACACAGTCTGAATGACAACAGAGAGGAGAGAGACAGGGGGAAGAAAGGGCTGCTATCACCTTACACACAGACTGAGACTCACACATGCCTCACATCTGCTTAAACAGCTCATGTATACACACACATCTCATATACAGCTACAACCTTTGCATGTGCACACATATACACTCACATATGGCTCATAATCATATTGCTATTGTTTATATAAAAACACAATGCTTCTTACAGACTCTTGCATACTGCCCATGTACACATATACTGTTTATATATACACACATATACTGTTCATATACATACAACCCATGCACACAGGCATCTACTGATATGTACACAGACACATATGTAAACACTTGTCTCGCATACAAGTATATCTCGTATACATATCACAAATATGCGGATATGTTGTTGTTTTTTCTTCACTGTTTCTCAGCCAATATGTACATGAACATATACACATACTCATCAAATATACATATAACTTATGTACACAACTCTCCTACAAACATACTGCTCACATTGACACACATATTTCTCATATACATACTGCTTTTATATACACGCTCACATTGTAGGGATATCTAAGCTGCTAGACTGCTGTTGTTTGTACTTCTCATTTACATATATAATATGTATACTGCTCATGTGCACTCACACAGGCATGCATACCTCTTATATACATCAAACACACATTTACTTCAGATACACACATTTATACTCCTTATATTTACATAGCAGTCTAGGTTGAAAAAAAGTCTCAAGTCCATCAAATCGAACCCTAAAACACATATTTTTATGCTGTGGTTGCAAAAGAAGGCAAGAGACACAATTTGAAGAGATGTCCAATTATTCCTCAAAAAGGGAGAAGCATCCTTCTTGACTCCAAATGTCAATCGGATTTCTCCTTGGATCAACAACCTGTGCACATACATGTTTATTATATCATTGAATATTCTGTTTTTCTAAAAATCATCCAGGCCTTATTCAAAATATACATCATTTTGGTAAGACAACCTCTTTGAGTAGAGCTTTCCACATCTTTATGGTTCTTACTATAAAGAACCCTTTCCTCTGCTGTAAGGGAAAACTGTCTGTTGTATATTCCTACTAATGAACAGGTTAGCACCTAGCAGTTTCTACAGACTCTGTATGTATTGGCATAGTGCTATCTTATCAACACTCGGAAGCTTTTTTTTTTCTAAATAAATAAAATACAGTTTTTCTAGCCTTTCTTCATATCTAATGTTTTCCATCCTATGTATGAAAGGGTTACTCCAAGCCGCATGATCACTTCATTGATTTGAAGTGGTCTTGGTGTCTGGAGTCTGTATGTGTAGCCCTTCACTTTGAAACGTTGCACGTACTAAACCCTTAGCTGCCAGAGGTGTAATTCAACCTCCGGCAGCATCATTAGCTAGCCTAGAACAAAGTCCCAGGCTGGCTAATATCAAATCTGTGCAATATCCATCTGATGCCAGTATGCCAGCATGATCAGATAGCCAATGGATGCATGCAACCCCCCTCAGCTGCCCCTGTCCTTCTGTGTCTGTTCCTTTTACCCTCCCTCCCCCTTACTTGTCGATTAAACAGTGGTAAGTTTAAGCATTTATTTATTTTATATTTTGGATGGCAGACCACCTCAGAAAGGGTTACTTTAACCAAAACCAGCATTTTGCAACAAAAATGCACCGCATATTCAAGGTGGGGTCTTACCATTGATTTATAAAGAGACAAAATTATATTTTGATCATGTGAATTAATACCCTTTTTTATACAATACAGCAATACTGTTGCCTAGTTTGTTTCCTATCTATAATTGACCTCAAGACTTTAAAAAAAAAAAAAAATAACTAGAGTGTTTTTAACATTATTGGGTCAGGAATACTTACCTTTATTTTAGCGCCGCGCAGGTCTGCCGGTGCTTGCCCCGCCCCAATAGACTTTATTGGCTGAGATTTTTAATTCTGATGATCTCGGCCAAGGAGGCGGGGGGCAGAGCCAAATGCCACTCTGGCCAATTAGCATCTCCTCATTGGCTGCTCTCGCTTTAGGATTTCCCCATAGAAAAGCATTATTAAGTGCTTTCCTATGGGGGTGCATAGTGTGAGGACGTCCAGCGTCACTTAGGCTATCAAAAGTCGCCAAACATCCCAGAGGTCTCTCTAGTGGCTCTAGTAGATGGCCACTAGAGTTGGGGTTAACCGTGAAAGATAATTATTGCAGTTTATTAAAAGCTGCAATAATTACCTGCTCAGGGTTAAGGGACCTCGGACACTGTACCCAGACCACTTTAATGAGCTTAAGTCGTCTGGGTGCCTATAGTGCCCTTTCAAGGACATAGGCAATTGTACATGTTCTGATCAAAACAAAACAAAGCAAACCCTAAAATTTAATTACATGTCTTTTCAACCGTAATATACCTCTTTCATATTAAGTGCACTCACACGTATTTTATATCGTTTTGTTCAGGAGAAACAGTGCTTTCATTTCACATCAAATATTTACATATGAAACATAATTTTGTAGGAATACAAACAAGAAAACGGTGAAAAATTAGGAAATGTTATTTTCTGAGTTCTGCGTGGAATTTTAACTGTGAATGTCAGAATACTGTTAGCTTTTACAGAAATAAAATACACATATATGTACAACAGTACCCCTCATGTACAGGTTTTATAGGGTTTTGGAAAGTTACAAGGTCAAATATAGGGCTTTCACATTTCCTTTTTACACATTGAAATTTGCCAGATTAGTAATGTTACCTTTAAGACAGTTTGGCAGCCCAGGAATGAAAAATACCCCTATCATGGCATACCATACAAACAGTGGCCAAAGTTAGCGTTCATATTTGTTTTTTGCATTTTTCAAAAATAAACTGCCTTTTCACTAATGATATCATCATCATGACACATTTTACTGTATTTAAACACTCATATTTGTGTTTAGCGTAGTCTGACAAGTAAAACAGTACCCCCACATACAGATTTTATGGTGTTTTGAAAAGTTACAGGGTTAAATATTCTGTGTAATTTATATATATTAATAAAGTTTTTTATTTTTACTATTTTGCAGAGTTTGGGGGACTGCCTGACAGAGAGGTATGGCTAGGGTTGTATAAACAAAGTTAATTGAGCTGTGAGACAGCATAGGAATGATCTATATACCAAAACCACTTAATTGAGCTTAAGTAGTTTTGGTGCCTAGAATGTTCCTTTATAGGGACACTATAGGTATCCACACCCCTTAATCTCATTGAAGTGGTCTGGGTGCACTGTCCCCATATCCCTGCAGCTGAAAACATTGCAGTTTTAGAGAAAATTAAATACTTATATTGCAGTGTTAAGACAGGCACTAAATGCGCTTCCTGCTGTTTCACAGAGTTTATCTCTGGGAAACTACACTGAACGTCTTCAGACTGTGAATGAGGTCACCCGGTGTCTTGCAAAACTCCCTAGGAAAGCATTGCTTCAATGCTTTGCTATAGGGAAGGCCTAATGCGCATGGGGCACTTGCTGCGCATGGGCATTAGGTTACCCCTTGTGATGACGTCAGAGAAGGTGGGGTTGGAACTGAAGGCAGCGCACAGGTCTTCAGCGCTGGAATTGGGTAAGGGTTATTAGATGAGTGGCAATACAGCTGTGTACTTTTAACACTGTAGTGTTCCTTTAAGGGTGCCAACCATGAACCTGTTAATGTATGTCACATACAGAGTCTAATCCCAGGAAAGCCACTGGCCCAAATACTTGCCCTCTGCAGCTTTTCAAGATTGGGGAACCTGCCTGGCAACCATAGGCAGTCCCACTGCAGTCAATCCAGCTGATCCAAGTCATGAGATTGCAGTGACACCGTGGTCAGATGAGTTGGATTGGCTGCAGGGGCACTGCCTGGGTTGTCAGGCAATATAGTCTTCCATGTATAAGACTATATTTTTTTTCTACAAATTTTTTTGTCAAAAATTGGGGATATATTATACACAGAATGTCATTGCAGGGAGCCTAAGCCAAGATGGCACCTGCTGCATTTCAGTGTGCCACGGCACACATACTTTGCCTCCCTCCCGCCGAACCACTTCTAGGAAGAGGTTCCTAGATGCGTGGGAGCTGCAGTAGACATCAGCACTTACCACCAACGGAGCTCCATAGACATGCCGCACCATAAA